AGCGCTATGAAATGAATTTGAATATGCCCAGTGCGAGGAAAGGAGAGAAACAACGGCCGATCACCTGCGCTCTTGCGTTTCTCTCTTCCGACGACGGAAAAAGAAAATAAATAAATATCGGGAATAAGCAGTCCACAGCTGAGCTCTTTCTTTAACAAAAAGTGCAAACCGACGTTAATTTTTTTTATAACGATGTCAAAAGGAAAGGAATTTTCAAAAGACGAAAAAACTTTAATATTTCGAGTTATTGAATTCGTCGAAAGTGAAAGAAGTGGAAACGAAATCCCGTTGAACAACTAGGTATGTTACAAACCCAAACCCAAACCCAAGCGACTTGGGTGTATTGGGTTTGGGTTTGGGTACCCAAGTCTAAGGCCTGGGTTTGGGTCAGTTGCCAAAGTACATTAATATTCTTCTTCAATGAAACTTAGCAGTAGTACCTTACGCTCTTCTGCCATACTATTCATTTATCTTTTTCTCTTCATCGTCGGTGGTTTCGCTTTCAAAACTTCACTTTTTTTCTTTAGTCTTCCCTATTCTTTTACATCATTTTTTATAGTGTACACCAATCATTTGTTAACATATTTGTGGTATGTTATCAGTGCTTATTTTTTTAGTATTTTTCTCTATTTCAAGGATCAGGATGATATGAACAAGATAAGTAGAATAAAACATTCAACTGTTGGATATTTGAACTAATCCAAAATGAGCTCTTATCGTTAGCGTTAGGCATTACATATGCCCACAGGCCGAAATAAACATCTTACATTCTGTTTTCTCAAAGAGCCACAACAAAAGAAGGTATCTCAGTTAAAAGGAGTCTTTTAATAACCCAAGTCTGACCCAATACCCAAACCCAAGTCTCAGACTTGGGTTTGGGTTTGTAACATACCTGTGAACAACACAACTCAAAGGTTAGAAGTCAATGAGGCACTTCGATCGCGACTGCGAACAACATCTGCGCCAGTCGTCCCAAAGTCTGGCAGAAAAGCCAAACGACAGTACTCAGCTTTAGTTCTACTAGAGCAGCTTCCAGCACCTGTCTCACCAAAAAAGAAACGTAAGTTGGAGCTGTTGCTTTTCGCAGTAGGCCGACGCTAAAGCAATCTCCACGTTTTTTATGAGTTTAGGACACAGCGGCCGTCATAAAATCGTTCTAAGTGAACTTTGTGAAGACACTATCCGTCTGGAATTTCATGAAATGCTCGAAGATAAGGAGTACCCGACTGTTGAGAAGTTATTCAGACGTTTATCAGAAAAATACGAGGAATTTCCTGTAAAATCAGCGACAAGTCTTTGGCGAGTGATGAAACGTCTGGGTTTCGCACACAAAAAAACGTCAAAAATTAAAGTTCCGTTGGATGCACTCTCTTTCGTCGGCGCAAGAGCCAAATATTTCAGAAAATTAAAACAACTGCGCGACGATAATGTTCTGGTTTTCTACCATGACGAAACCTGGAGTAATGTGGGAGAGGGAAAAAGAAGCATTTGGCTTGATGACAGTGGCAACGGACGATTTCGTAAGCTAGATGGCAAAGGTCTGTTTTGTGGGACGTAGAAGTACTCTCCTGCGACACGTCAGTTTTCTTTTTACCATAGGCGCCAGGTTGGCAGTGAGTGCTCTAATTAACGAGCAAGGTTTTCATTTACCGTCGGTTGACGTATTCAAATGTGACGACGAACATAACATGAATTCTGCCCATTTCAATTCGTGGCTAAGTGAAACGTGTAGCATGTTACGCACCGAACATGGTGAGGAATTTGACAGTAGCAAATTCGGATAACTAACATTTTTTTACCTTTTGATTCACCTTTTTATAGGAAAAAACCGTAAGATTACACTCGTCATTGATAACGCCACGTGACATAATCAGCAGACCTTAGAGTCAAAAGTTCCGAAACGAGGCTCGAGAAAATCTATCCTTCAAGAATGATTAAAAGCTCACAAAGTTCCATACAATGAAAATTTGAAGCTGACAAATGCAGAACTTTTACTTAGAATAATCGAAAATGCACCACCGAAAGAATTTAGCGTAAGCTCAGAAAAGTCACTTCGCGATATTACGGACTTTGCGTTAAGATAATTATCTTTTTTTCTGTAGTCGGACTTAGCCGCAAAAAATTTCGACGTTGAAATTGTCAGAATACCTGTTCGTCACTGTGTCCTGAATCCAATCGAACTGGCATGGGCTCAGTTGAAAAACTATGTTCGAGAAAACAACACCCGATTTCATCTTACAGACGTACACAACTTCATTCTGGAATATATGTCAGCAGTTGGTCCGGAGCTGTGTGAATCATACTACAGACACGTAAAGAAGGCAGAAGAATCATTTAAAACGGCTGACAATTTTATTGAACAAATTATTGATCCGGATCTGGAAGATGAAAGTGACTGTGAGAGCGACGATGATGACTGTGACGATTTGAGTGGTGTTTTTGACTGATTTGTTATCGTCTAATTGTTTCTTTAGAAAATAAACGTTCATTTCTTAATTTAGAACCTCTAAGAAAGTCCAATTGTCAAGTCAGTAGCTCAGAGATTGGAATTTCCGCTATTACTGCCTCGCTAAAGTGCTTATAGTTGCTTGGTAATTATAGTTATAGCGCAAAAAAGTTTCATTATTCACATGAAAACATTGCCACGTTACTCAGCGCATGCGAAAACCTATAAATCAACTAAATTTTGGAGGTGTCTGACCGAAAAAAGCGTCCTGTCAGCAGTCTCAGGAAATGTTCCGTAACTCCCGAACCTTGGAAGGTACGACTTTGGAAATGGTCAGATTTTATAGAGCAAGAGTTGGCGGTTCGAATCCACTATTTAGACTTTTTTTTTGAATTTTTTTAGTGATGTAACATCTTCTGCAAAATGTCTTCGCAAGGTACACCATCTGCAGGTAATTTTGGGACAGAACTTTTTAGTTTTTCCTGTAGCCCCAACATTTTTCTTTTGAACAGCGAAAACCACAACGTTTTAGCTGCTTCCTAGAAAAAGTTATTGAGAAAATGACATCCTTTTTCTATTTTGAAATGGATAGTAGAAGGAGTTCAGTTACCAAACTTCCTTTCTTTTTACTCGAGAAACGCAAATATGTTATGAAAACGCGAAAAAAATCAGTCACTTCATTTTTTATATTTGAGTTATTTTAAATTTGCTTGAACAAAGGTCAGATAGGGTGGATTATAACAAATCTTCTCTCAATGCTTACTAAATTAATAAGATAAGAAATTGGTAAAATACTAATTATTCTCGAGAAGCCGAAAGTAAAATACATCAAAACCTGATGTCTTACCCGTTAACAAATCATTTAACTCTTCTTTGGTTATACAGCCGACATAACCAATAGCGTACCATAAAAAGAATTGGTGTGATAAAAACGAAGAAGAAATCTATAGTTATGTATAGATATGTATTGATCTCTTGAGAATTGTTGCCAGGTATATTGGAAACGATATTTAACAGCATTATCTAAATCTATTGACTGTACTCTCCTTTATGAATATTTTTCTCGCAACGTCTTTCCCCGACAGTGGCTCAGTAAATCACTTTCTATTAAACGTATATATCGGTCAAAACGTTTTATTCCTCATATTTCGGCAATCCAAAAATGTTTGTTGTTTTTTGCATGTAGTGAAGACTCTTCTATTCCTGATATATCTGATGTGGATCTATCTTTACTTTCGTTTTTCCCAGAGTCATTTTCATAAGTGTTTCTGGATGTTGTATAGTTCTTCTGTTTCCGTATGTCTGTATCATTTGAAAGTAGTATTTTAGTATTTGTTATTTACTAATCAAAAGTAATAGAATCAGAAGTAATACAACCACTCAAATTTATTACGACTACAACAACAAAAACGCTGATAAAATGCTCGAAATTTCCATATATAATCGACCAACAGCAGATAAGAAATCCACATTAAACAAGCACATAACAAACGTATAGTTAATGGACAATCAGTATAACACGAATTGCAAACACTCCATTAAATATTCTTTAATGAACCCAAGGAAACTGTAATAGGCTCGGTTATAGACACAAACAGAGTTTAAGATGTTCTATAATAGGAACATTTAAATACTTACGGGATTTTGTAGTTATCAAGAACAAATTTTAAGACTTTACATAATAGAATTTACAGTGTTTTATAGTGCCATTGTCGGACGTCCTATAGAACCACAAATGAGATTAAGGATGTTATGTAGTAGGACTGGAGGTACGGCGGGATAAAATTAACGAAATCGCTAAAGATTTGAGTATATAACTGAAACTACTTTTGGAATTGAGAGGTGAAGGGGCTACATAAACACACATAGAGCTACTGACTAATATTTTTCTGGATAAAGAATGATCGTTAAAAACAGATTTTGCAGGTATAACAGAATAACAGGTTTTGGTCTTGTATTTTCCACCTTCACATCGGGTAATTCATTCTTTGACAGAATAGTTTTTTGAAAGTTTTCTTGATTAGACGATCGTAAACGGTGTTTTGTCCATTCTGTAAGATTTGTTTTATTTTTTAGAATATGACATTGAAGGTTACCGTCGATAATTTCCTTATTTTTGTTAGTAGTTTCAACTTTCAGAAAGTCGCAGATTTTCGAAATTGTTTCCGTGATGCTTTCATTGGCTTCACGGTAAAATGTGAAAAGCTGATGTAAACTTACTTCCATGGTACTGTGAACAGTCGAATCGAGCGAAATGTTAGACGAACTCTGACAAATATTAATATTGGAGGTGTGAGATTCATCCATGTTAGTAAAAACTTCGAAAAAGAATTTCAAATACTTTCTTCGTCAACTTTTAAAATGAGGATGCAAGCAATGATTGTTATTCTACATTCTTTGCCTATATATTTCTGACTTGTGGTAGAGAGAAGGCAGAGAATAAATAGAAATCTATTTTCTCTAAAGAGAGAATAACAAAAACACGTATGACTATTATCTCACATGAATCTCTTTTCTAGAAGCTTCTACAGATGGAGAAAGAAGTGAGACAACAGGTTCCGGGCAACAACAAATTGTAAATTATAAGTATTTCAGAAGGGAACGAACAGAAAAATGGAGCAAGTAAAAAAGTACTGATTGAGTATGTACAATTGTGCCTCGCCAGTGTGAAAGAGATAAAGCAGAAGGTAGCAATTTTCGTCTGCTAGAAACAACTTCTAAAACCTACAAGAGCAAATAAAATAGATTTACTAAAGTGAGAAATAGACTACAGGAGTACATCTCGTATGACAAAAATGAGTTGTCAAAAAATCTCGGAATTATATTCGATAATGATGTTTAAATTCTTTTTCTTGTTTTCTTGTTCAGAAAGTTAGAGTTTATCCTGTTTGGTAGTCAAAAAGTCGACCTCTTCTTGCCAACACTAAAAAAGGATTACAGTAGATGCTTCCAGTGGAGCATCCACCGGCACGAGAAGTAGCGAAGAACCTCGATACTGTAGTCAAGTATGTATAAACCAGAGACTTAGGAGGTACAGAGAACTACATAACAAAGAAATATATAAAGTAAAGATACGGATAGATGACTATTGTTCCACCGAATAATTTTAACCTTTTCAATGTCAGACCTAGGCCAGGGACTGCCCGAATATTTCGGTATTTGGGACTCGGTCTAGTATTGGAATCCGGGCTCCAGTCCAGTCTCAGTATTCATATCGCATTTGGTGTTAGCTAAGTTTATATCGATTCTTCGTTTCTTTTACATATCATATAGAAAGCAGATCTATCTTCAATGAGAATCATTGACGATGGATTACATAATGCATATTCGTGATCTAACGATCCTGATGTAACGTGTAAAGCTCTGTTTCATTTGAGGCCATATTATCAGAAGGGTAGATTACATGGACGCAGAGAATACAGAAGCGATAGGCCACATGATTACTTAAAAAGTATACATCATCAGAAATTGTCTACCTACATTTGGGAAAATCTATTTGTCATAGTATTATCATAAAATTAAAAAGCTTGAATGATACCCCCGAATACGAATCGAACCTCGATACTTGACCGAGCCCAGAATACCAGACTCGATTCTCTCGAGCAGAATTCGATTTCGCTACATACCTAATGGATTGGCAAAAAAGTTTTACACTAGTCATAAGAAAACCTTATTGATTCTCGCTTAAAAGTCTCGCGCTGGTCTTGTTTTTATTGAAGACTTTTACTTTATATATGCAGTAGAAATGACAGAAATACGCAAAATATGATGAGCTGATCACAGATAGAAATAAGCCCAAAGTTTTTGCTACTATGAATCATAACAATTGCAGTTGATCTCGACTTTGTTCTTAATATTATCGTAAAAAGACAACAACTAAAACCGAATGGCTTTTCCTAGTTACTACTTGATTCACTTGGCATACTACACGGTGTAACATAACCTTTTTCTCCCCCCCTACACGACCTAAAGGACAGATAATATCAGAAAGTATTTATACCAGGTTAAAGCCCATCAAAAACTAGATTTATGAGTGTAATTGATATTCCG